CTCGAGTTAACTCGACTCAATCTCAAACCTTAACAAGTTAAATTGAACAGAATCCAACTCAACTTGATAAATTCACGAATATCTCATTATTTTTTTTTATAATTTTTTAATAATTATCTTAAAAATTTTATTTCATTAAATAAATTATTAATTTATTAATACATAATAATAAATAATAAATTACTAATCTATTAATTTTCTAATAAACAAAAAAATTATATTATTAAATAAAACTTTACTACACCCAAACATTAAACACCATTTATTATTTTAATGCATTTGTAGATTATTATTTAGAGTTTAAACTTTGAAATTACTTCATGCACTCTTATGTTATTTTTTGTTATATTTATTAATTTATATTTATATTAAACTCTATATAATATTAATAGATTTTATTTATATTTAAGAAAATAAGTTAATTTTTTTGTGAGTTTAAAAAAAGAGCAACGAGACGAATGACAAGCACCGAACTTAGCGAGTAACAATTTTTTTAACGAACACACTGTTCAATTCGCAATCAACTCGCTCGATAATCACCCATAATTCTACTTTAGGAGTAACGTAGGGTCAAAATCGTTCAAGAAGATAGTTATCCACTCTCACAAATCTCTCAACTACTCCACTATTATTTGGATTACCAACATATATTTCATTGTCATTCCATTAGAAAAGAACTCAAAGCCTTTGCACAAAATATCTCCAACATGAACTGGCAAAATCACCTAAAGGAATAAACCATTTCCAAAATCTATATTGTTTACAAGCCTAAACCCAAAATTGAATCCAAATAGTAAGCAAACTAAAACCAATTCAAAAGATTAAAAACAAGAACATACAAACACAACAAAAGTAGCTCAAGCAGATCAAAACCATAAACTGCCATCAGAAGCTATATATATATATTCAAAGTCCCATCTAGATTTTGCATAAAGAAACTCAAAACCCTTTCACTAAGGTTTTTTTTTACCATTCAGTGGGTACTTGTTTCGTACCTATGAATGATTTAGTGCTAATTAATTCAACAAAACAGTGTTGAATGATTCAACACAGAAATATATTTTGAATGATTCAACACAGAAATACATTCTGAATGATTCGAAGCCATTATCAAACAGCATATCACATTCAGAGCTAATTCATACAAAACCTCTGAATCATTCAACATTTAAATAATTAAGCACTTAATAATTCTAAATCAAACAAACAGCCACAAAAAAACCATCACTTGACACATAAAATCAGTAGTAATAAGTTTTCGATTGTACCTTTGCACAGTTATTTAAAATGCTGTTTGGGCATGGTAGGACAACAAATTGTGAAGAAACTAAAACACAGACGTAAAAAGAAACAGATTTAAGTGTTCACACCCATTACAAGGGACAATGCAGAAACGGTATTTAAATTGTTGGTCCATGAGAGCCGAACTTTTAATTGATGAAAACAAGCACACTACACAGAAAGAAATGAGGTTCAAGTGGATTAGAACTATCTTAAAATATGTTTTTCAAAGTTCCAATTTGCTTTTGCATAAAGGATACTCAAAGCACCTGCAGGCTGCACAGATATCCTTTGTGAAATTAGATAGTTCACTATTCATAGCTGAAAAAGAATAAAGAAAAGAGTACCCAGACCACAACAACCACGGACGCATAAAAGAAAAAAGAATGAGGATTTTCAGCCATCAGAAAGGGTAGGGCAGAAATTTTATTTCATTGTAATTCCAAGAGAATAAAACTCAAAGCCCTTGCGCAAAATCTCCCAAACATCACCTGGCAGAACTCATGAAAAGGGATCAACCATTTCTCAAATCTAGGTTGTTGAGCTAAGAGCCTATTACCATAAATCGAATCAAGTAGTGACCAAACTAAAACCGTACAAAGAAAAATAGCTGAAATGGATCAAAACCATAAACTGCCATCAGAGGGAATGTGTGGTTTTTTTTTCAGAGCCCCATTTTGCTTTCGCATCAAAGGAACTCAAAGCCCTTGCGCAAATTTCCCAAAATCCATCACTTGGCAGTTCTCAACTTCCCAAATATAATCAGATCAAATAACGAATAAAAACCTACCGATAAGATAACATAACTTGAACTAAGATGTTGGGGGGGGGGGAGAGAGAGAAGAGAAGAGTTGCAGGGAACGGCGCTCGAAGAAAAGAGATATAACTAAACAAAGAAAGAGGGTTCTCTTTTTATTTTAACCTAAAGGGCTAATGCGACATTTAATTAAGGCTTAAAACTCAAATTAATCTCTTTATATGTTTATTTAATAGAACTGGAAAATTTTGAAAATTAATTTGATCACAATTATTAAATTTAAAATTGATTTATATTTAATTAAATATAATTGTTTAATATATTATCATTTAAAATTTTAGGTACGTTAGCATGACAATATATTTTTATTTTCGATTTTTCTAGGATAATTACATAATAAATCACTTTCGTTTTAGTTTTGTACATTTTTTCTCATCGAATTTAAAAAATATAATATTTGATCATTTTCATTTTTATTTAATTAATAAGTGATCACTTTTATTTAATTTCTTCATTTTTTTCTCACTAACAATAATTAAAATTTTAGTGATTAAACATTAAAAGTCGATAAGATAGATGATCACATATTAATTAAATAAAAATGAATGTGATCACATTTTAATAAAATAAAAATAAAAATGATCAAATATTATATTTTTTAATTCAGTAAGAAAAAATGTATAAAACTTAAACAAAGATGATCAATCCTATAATTTATCCTTTTTTTCTATATTTTTTATTAGTTAGAGTGATTATGATATAATATTTATTTAAATTTTCTTAATCTATTGATAATGAATAAATACATCATATAAATATATAGGGTTGGACCTAGGAGACTTAATCTGTTTTCGCTTCCATAAAATTTTATAATTTCGCTGCTTTTTAAATTTTATAAATTTGTTCATCTAACGTACAATCAAGCGGAGGACTATTCTGCAGCTTAGAACCAAAGCTGCTTCGATCCAAGGGTTTTTATCTCTTAGTACTGTGGCTATGATTTGGCAGTAGACTTGATGTAAAAAGGAGAAAGTTCCTTGGAAGAAATTGGTCTGGCATCCAAGGCACATCCCTAAAAATGCTTTAATCTCATGAATGGCGATTTTGGATAAGTTACCTACTGAGAGCAGGCTTATTTCTTTTGGTTTGGCCATTGACGGTGAGTGTGATTTATGCAGGAAGGAGAGTGAGACCAGGAAGCATTTGTTTTTTTTAGTGTGAGGTATCTCGTCTTGTTTGAAGTAGTGTTCTGGCTCTTTGCAGGGAAAACAGGTCTGTGATGATCTGGAGTGATGAGCTTGAATAGGCGTGTTGTAGGCTTAAAGTCTTTGAGGGCTTGGGTACTGAAGTTGGCATGAAACAGCTGTATTGCTATTATTTGGAAAGCTAGGAATCATAAATTGTTTCGAGGTAGCTTGATTACTGCCTCTGAGATGGTGGATCAAGTAAAGGAGACGCTAAAACTAAAATTGTGGGGTAAGAAATTGAAGAGGGGAGGCTATGTAAATAGATATATTTATATAGTATGAGTTTGTTTTGTTTATAGGTGGCTTAGGGGTGGTTCTGCAGCTTTTCTGCTTTAGTTTGATGTAAAGCTGGTTGCATCTTTGATTTGGTTTATAATGCAATTATTCATTAAAAAAATATAAAATCAAACGTTCGTCCTTATAAAATAATTGTCCAAACCAAAGGCTTCTTCTTTTATCACTTGAGTGATTCAATAAATTTCTATTTTTCCTATATTCAAGGATCATAATACACTAAACTTTTATCTCTGAGTTCCTTTCTTTTATTACTGGAGTTTTACATTCGTTTATCTATCTAATTTTCGTTAGAGTTGTTACTCTTAGATTCTTTAACTTCATTTCTTGTAATATTATTTTTCAGGGCGTAGGAAATTGACCAGAAAAAAGTGATGTTAATGTTTCTTTTGGGGAGAACTCCTTAACTGGCTGCTTGTGTATATGTGGCTCAATCCCTGACATAATTAACCCACTAGAATCAATCAGTTTACTATATTAGCTGCTTAATTAAGAAGCGAGTGTGAACGAATTTGGCGAAACCTAGTTGTATGGGTCACTGGTTTTGTATAATGATCTAATTAACCAATAACCTAATAGATATACCCATTTCCTACTCTGAAGAGTGGTTAAAATAAGATATCTCAATTAAGTATCAATTAGCTCAGGCTAATTTTGTTGGAAATTATGAATTCAACTTGATTTAGACATTTAAACTAATCATTTTAAAAGGGAAAAAACATTTAATGTGACTATTTATTCTTAGTATAATTATCCATATTTGATAAATTGATCAATTAATTCAAATTCGTTATTATGGAAATTTATTATAGGATGACTCTCTCAATTCGATATTTTAATTTATGTTATTCACAATGTTAATATTCAAGTTCTAGATCTAAATACTATTTAAAGGGAAAATTTTAATATTTTATTTTATTAAATGAATTAGTTATTAATGATATATAATTTAATATTAGCAATAATATGATGATTAATAATTTCATGGTAGTAATTACTTGTGATGGGAAAATAAAGGATGCTCTAGAGTCTTCCTTGTTTTGCACACAGTCACAGTCGACTTAAAGAAGTAGTCCTTCCTTGCTCACGAAGCTTATGAAATTGTTTGAACATAAATAAATGTATATGACGTAAGCCACAGTAATATTGGAATTGATAAATTACTTTTAAAAGATTAAAACCGAAAGTCCACATATAAAAGGAGAAAAAAGGGCCACATTCATTAGAATGTCGACTTTGGTTTACACTTCACACTAACAGAGTAAACTTGGCGTGGAAGTAGCCATGGCATTGGCCTATCGACATCCACTTACCATATTTTTATGAAGCAAGGAGTATTTTCTATATATACACCCACACCATAAGGAGAGTGCGCTAAATTCTTATTTCATCATCTTGAGCTTTATATTTGGTTTCTTATCAGCAATCTCATGAAAGGGTTCAGATTTCACCCAACTGATGAAGAACTCATGGAGTATCTTCATATCAGAACCTTCGACCGTGATTCTCTCGTCCAATTTATTGCTGAAATACAAGACATCTGCGATTTGGAGCCTTGGGAATTACCTGGTCAAATCCCTTCCTTCTTTGCTTCTTAATCCTACATTTACTTCTTACTCGAATTCTTCAAAATATGTTGTATCATCTTAATAAATACGTGTGTGCTCGTCTTTCAGGGTGCTCGAACTTTCAGACAGGAGATCGATCGTGGTACTTCATGTACCCACCTAGATACAAGTACCTAAACAGTAAACTGATTAGCCGGACCACCCTGGAGGGGTATTGGAAGCCTACTGGCAATCCTCGTAAGATAATTAATTCCGAAACCGGATCACAGATCGGCAGCAAGAGGACTTTGGTTTTCTATGAAGGCCAATGTAACAATAAGAACAAAAACAAGACTTCTTGGGTTATGCATGAGTATGAACTCAAGGCTACAGCTGAGTCTGATCAAGTAAGCAATCTTTTCAAATTGCTATCATACATACATATATATGGCACTTCTATATTTATTTATGAGATTTCACTGCACCAATAAATATGTTGTTGTCCCTTAATTTGTGTAGAAGCCTTTCAAACTTTGTAAACTGAAGAAAAAGGTTGATATATCCAGTAGAGAAGTTGGTCAATTAAATCAGGATTCTTTTTCTAATTTAGAAAACCATGTAGCAAACAATGCAATGTCAGAGGTTAGAGCTTAGATTCCCTATGTTTCTTCTCTTCATTCGGTTGTATATTTCTATCATGATGTGGATATTCATGGCTACTGCTTCTTTCTCTATGGTCAGAACATCCTATACCCTAACAGGTCAGAAGCATCCAAACACCATGACGGCGCTCATAACCGTTGCAGCGCTGTTGAGATATATGCTAGAGGAAGAAGCAATCAACATAACATGGTTAATGAAGATGAAGGCTCCAATGTATCATCTAATTTCATAAATCATGTTGCAGAGTATGCAATTCTGAAAGTAAGATGCCTGATCCAAAATTTCTTAATCAGTTATCCATGTGAATTATGATGATGATGACTATCTAAAAATCTTATTTTTCTGATTCAGGTACCTTTACACCTTAAAGAGGTGCCAACGGATCAAAATGGACCCAAAGACGATAATAGGGTTCGATGAGTCTTGCAATTCAATTCTCACTAACTATGATGAAACTGTCACTAATGAAAGAAGCAATCAACATAATAAAGTTGTTGCAGCCGAGGGCTTTGAAATGCCTTCTAATGAAAGAAGCAATCAACATAATAAAGTTACTGCAGCCGAGGGCTTTGAATGGCCTTCTAACTTGGAGTATCTTGCCGAAGAAGACATAATTCCAACAGTAAACTCTCTCTCTCTCTCTCTCTTAATCATTTATTGATGCAGAATGTAAAACTGATGGAAAGATCTTATCTGTTTTTTCGTCCATGTTTCAGGAACTGTTATATAATGATGGATTATATAACATATTATCATCACTTGATGTGTTATTAGCAGCGCCAGAAGCAACTAATAACTCGAATTGGATTCAAGATCAATATATCACCAACAAAGAACATGGAGAGTTCTTGAATTCAACTTTTTCTGATAAAAATGAAGCTTACCTTCAAGAAGGAGACATGCAACTAGGACCGGCAGCTGACAATGAAGGTTTTGGCTTGCCCTGCATAGGCTCGATGATAGAATCATCAAATTGGATGGAGAAATCTAGGAAAAGACCACATTGAATATGATGATCCGTCTATAGAAACTGTCGAGGCTCAACGTCGGGGGAGAATACCCTTTAGTGGGTAATAAGAAAGACCTAGAGATTCTCAAGAGTCGAGAAATGTTAGAAATTTTCAGATATCTCAAATATCGTAGAAGTGAATAACTTTTTTCTCTTTCAATTATCTAAGGATGTTTAGAATCCCAAATTACAGCTAATGTAAACAAAGAATATTATCAGAATATTTTGAAAGCAAAACAAAACTTAATCCCAGCAAATACAATATTATCTGTCAAAGAGCTGAACTAGCAATGGCGAAAAATGTTATTATCAATAATTAAGAACTAAAAAGTATATAGTCCACCCTCATGATTCTTCTTTGCTTAGAGTTTTTCTTTGTCCATACAGTTTTTCTTCTCGAGCTCGTTTTGCGGCAAGGGCTTCTTCATCAAGCACTTGTATAGGAGACCATTCTGGCAATTTCAACGAACCACTCTTATCAAACATAGATTCACTGATGTGGGGTAATTTAGATCTTAACTTTAGTGCAGTAAAATCCACTGCTGTCCCAACAACAGCAAAGATGAGTGAATAGCGATAAGCACCAAATTGACCACCTAAAATGTCACAGAACAAATCTTTTAAAAGAGATGTTGCGGAGGAGAATAGAGGTGACGCAAATTTAGCACTTTAAGTGCTTAAACAACTGGGGTAGCATGCAGAACTGATCTACATTTGCAGAATTAAACAAGCATATGGATAATATACATATATATGTACACAGAGAGAGAGAGACTGATAAAATATACCTTGAAGACGGCCCAATATAGCACCAGTACCGAATCCAGCAATTGCAGAATTCAGAAGATCCTCAGGTCCTGTTTTACGAGTTGCTGTTACAAATTCACGTGCTCCTGCCAAATTAGTGTTATTATTGCAGTATCCAATTGAAGTAACTTCTTTCAATTTTTTTTTTTTTGAAGTAACAGTTTGCAAGAAATGTGATGCTGTAGATGCCAATTACCAAAGCATCCACTACTATATCTGTCTGTTCGGAAAAGCTTATATCTTCTACCGACTTTCATTTCCTTAAGAAAAATATCAAGTCAACCTCAGTGAGGCCGGAAAACGGCAGAACAGAAGGCATGCACTCTCATAATGACGATGTAAAAGGCCATATTAAGGAGAAGAAAAAGGTTTAAGGAAGCAGTGTCTCGAATTATCACAATGTATTTGAGGCCTGTTACAAGTTTAATGCATTTCCCAATGCAAATGCACATTGTATGAAATTTCTTTTAGGAGTGACATTGACTAAAATAGTCAACCTAGGTTGATTTGCTAATACCAAGCCTATAAATTTCATACAAGTCAGCGTTGCATTAGCTTTCGGAGCAACATTTTTTCCAGTAAAACTACTAGAAATCAAGGGGGACGGGGGTAATTTTAGTATTCATGCTATATGCTTTATTTTGAATGGAGGCTGCATTCAACAACACTATGATGCTAACTCACACATTAACATGAGAAAAGAATTCAGTGCGCCTAGATATGATACCAAAGTCATGTTACAAGAAGAGAATGATTACCCGATACTTATGACTGACAAGATAAGAATGTACAAACTCCCTACTATTAATTAAATCAAGGCATCAAATCTAACTTCCAAGGTCTAAAAACCTAAAGATGATACTAAAACCTTTCTTGGTACCCCACACGGCACCACTCCATGTGTCAAGAAAAAACCTAGTTATCCAGGTCAAGAAAGCTGATCTCCCAAGTTACTTTAACTTTTCCACCAATGTCACTCCCCATTAATGGCAATGTCGTGGATATATATTGCACACGTTATTTTGAAAGACGAAAACAAATTTTATGTCTTGCATTTATATATGAGTACAAATATGACCCACTATCACAACCAATGACATAAAAAGTTAGTAGCAGGAATTCCTGTAAGACCCTTTCTATATGCTCTTAAAGCTGGATTTGGGTGCAAAATAGAGTAATACTTTGGAGGAATTAATTATTGAAAATGTGTGATTGTTATAGATGATGAAACTTATGATTTTTCTTCTATTCAATTTATGGTTCAAATTACAGTACAATTTAACATCTCCCTGACTCATTTGGAAAGTCATCTCCTCTACTGATCGAAATTGAAAATGAAAAAGAATTTGACTTTAACAAATGATCACTTGCAGTTAAATACTATATAAAGAAAGGAAATACCGCAATAGCAGCCGGTGACAATAGCGAAATTAGTGGCATAAGTAGCTGAAATATTAGCCAGACCATGCAGTTTTCGATGCTTTGAAACCAGCCCAAATCCTCCACCGGCAACCCCTGTTTCAAACATTCATGACTCCTGATGTTTCAATAAATAAAAATCACCAAAAGTGAGCAAGACAAAAAGACAAAGACCAGCAAGGATCGTAGGGATCAATATTCGACGCCGCCAGTCCTCGGAGATTGGTGATGACGATGGGGACTCTCCTTGGTGGTTGGGGGACGCCATTGTTTTCAGTTTGGGATCTTTTTCTGCATTATGCAAGAGTTTTTAATGGGTCGGACCCCTACATGTGTACTTATAAGGAAAGGCCCAATAACCCAGAGTTTTATTAGACAGATATATTAATTTTGTATAATGTTATCATTTCGTATTTAAAATTGTTTATAGTAAAAAGAATCAAATGATCTCAGTGTTTAAAATATTGTTATTGGTTTTTGAGATTTGAGGTTCGAGCACTTCATATGCAGAAATTTGAGCGTTCATTGTCAAATGATCGAATAAATAAAAAGTTTTATAGTATTGTATCAATTCAGTAAATGTATGGTTCGTTGGCTTCATCAAAATAACTTTCGACAACATTTTTGTATAATGTATGTATAAAATTAGAAAAATATACTATAATACATTTTATAAAAAAATAAAAAACCATTTTACATTGAATTGGAAATTGAAATAATCAATTCATTTTATGCCAATTAAATACTGAAAATTTGTATTTCATAAAATAAATTAGATAAAACAAAGAGACCCATTCAAGTAGAATATTATATAAACCCATGATGAAAACAACATATATCCTGAGTCCTCTTACGTAAGATGAAATGGTAGAGAAAAAGAGTAGGAAAGGGATTAACAGCAAGTCTAGGAGGATCTTAAATCTTAATACTTGTTTAAACAGTTGATTGATCGTATTATGCAGTACATTGACAGCAACAACGACCTGAAATACAAGATCCAGAGCTTGGGTTCTGCTTTGGGGAAATTTTAAATAAACTCTAGCTTTGCATGACATTCATGATCAGGGTGACTGATGAAAACTACTCCATTACCACCTCTCACAGTGTTAAAAGCACTATAAATATCTGCTTGGTAGAACATAATCATATATATATATATATTACTCGGCTCCCTAGTAGAATTTCAACCCTAAAAAATGGAGACCCAGCAACTACCTAAACATCAGATCATTCAGCCTCACTCTCAAAACCACTATTTTCTTTCATGAGGCCGAAGAGTCTGGCCCTAACTCTTCTGAAGCTGAGGAGCTATTGACTCGTTTGTTGTCTGGATAACCCTTCTCTATTACAGGTTCAGACATCTTCTGGGGTTCAGCCCCAACCCTTTGCTTGTATTCTGTAACATCATATTCATTTCAAAATAAGCACAATTAAGTGTTCAATTAGATTAAATGAGCCGAGATGATAAGGTTCGAAAGTGTAAAGAAAGGGTTACTTTTATTGGTGATTGAATGGCGAGTATATGCCAAAAACTCATCCCACTTGAATCTACTAAGCTCTTGCTTTTCCTCCGATGACAGCTCAAAGTTTGGCTCCCTTCCGCACATGAAAGCAGCTCTATAGATAAAAATATCAACCAATGAGTTCCAAATCCTTTCTGAGAAGCTAGGAATCACGTATAACTTCACAGCTTTCTCCTACATACCCCTCCCACGTTCTTTTCTGATTATTAAAATATAAATATACCAATTTTATCATATTTATCATCAGTAGTGCATGAACATTTTTAAAGAAATTCATTAACAACGTGAAGAGAATAATTTTACCTTGACCCGTGGTAAGTGTGAAAATAAAGGAATCAAACTTGTTCTTTTGTTATTATCAGAATACTATAGTAAAGCTCAAGGAGATCAAAGTTTGCAGAAAATTTGTAGTAGCAATCATTACAAGTAAGATAAGAAAGACAAGTTATTACCTGTCATATAAACGGGCAGCTTCTTCTTGTGAACCAACAGTCCCCAAGTGAATCTGCTTCTTATCAACTTTTATCGCAGCCTGCCATTTCATATTCTTGAAGTATACACCCCTCATTAGACATGCTTCTTGATTTTGAGCATGCTTCCTCCAATGTCGCTTCCTGCGCTTGATTGGTTGCCCTATAAATAATAAAATCATACATTGTCATTAGTCAAATGTATAAGTTAAAATGGCTCCAAGCATCCACTTTTGATGGTGATTAGTGGCATGTTTTATCCAGAAGAGCCAGGGCAGGAACTCAGTTCCGAGATATATTATTTTCCTCTATATTCTAACCAACAAATAGGGTGAAATACCATCTCTTCCTCGAAGTGCTTCTGTATTTGTGTCAAACATGTCATTTATCACAAGCCGCTCTCTTAGTTATCCCCAAAAGAAGAAAAAGAAAAGTCCAAAAACAAACATCAACAGGATTTTAATAATTAAAGGTAGAACACCTCAATTTTGTGCATTAAATATCTGCAGATAAAATCATTTTCATAACATACTTCCCCAAAATTATTATCTAGAAATTAGTTTAGCATGCAACCACTAAAGATGCCAGAACCCAATATTTGAATACGATCTCAGGTAGACTGAATTGGAGTTGCTGATGTTAAAGGTCCCAAATAAATATCATGCAACAGGTAACTGGTTGCATCAATCAATGCCCCGTTTTCCATGTTGAAATAGCACCTTATTATCTCATACTTCCACGGTTCCATTCTTGCCACAGATCCATCAAGCATTCAATATCTCTATATTCATCAAAATTATCCAATTTATGTATTTTATATGTGCCTCAAAGACACAGAAAGTAAAATAAAGGCACTATATTTCAGGTTAATTTTCTATCCTACTTGTAAAGGATAACATAAAACAGAAATACGAAGAAAAAAGAAGTCAGAGAGAAGAGGAGGGAGAAAGGAAGGAAAGACAACATCAAACCATAAACAAGTAAAAGTTTTCCAGATGTATTGATATTAACAAACATATAGAAAACGGGTTTCCTAAGAGACAAACCTGGGAAAGGTTGATAATGAGGCTCTTTTGATGAACCAGAGCCAGAAGCAGAAATATTTGGTGATCCAGAGCCAACCACAGCAATGCTTTTCTGAGAAACAGCATCAAATAGTTATACGGAACTGTTTAGTAATAAGCGGAAATTGAATACTACATGACACTCTGTATTTATCTGTCATGAGCAGTATGATGCACCTAGAGGAACCTAAAAGTACCATTTTAATTGACAACTAGCTTTTTACCCTGTGATTCTTGCTCAAAAGGAACAGTGAAAAAAGTTTCTATAATAAGTGGGTGCCCCGGGATGCAATGCAATGACCAAGCATCAAAAGCTAATGGTTTCACTCCCCCAAATGGCAAAGGAGCTTAGTAATCCTTAGGTTAGAATACGTAGCATTCACAGAACAAAGTACAAATATTACCATTGGCATTGTGAGTGAAGACATGTGCCTTTCCATTTGATGATTCTCATTGAGAACAAGTAGCATGTATCATGCCCTACTTTTTCTCATGGATCCACCTTTTGTTCACTGCTGCATAATATAACCATAGATGCCACCAACAGTTGGCTATGATATTCGCATAACTATAACTACCGTACCAACCAGGAAAACTGCTCAATTTGAAGATGCATTTGTGACAACCAGCTACCAGGAAAGTACATATAGAAAAACAACGTTGAAAATTAAATGTAATATGTCTGTAACTATCACCTACGGATACATTCTTTCATGTTTGCATCATTGCATATTACTAATCCTTCCAGAAATATAGTATTAAAGAAGATCCAAGATAAGGGAGGAAAGATTCTTCCATAACAACAGATGGTCTTTCCTTTTGCCCTTTTTTGGACAAAGCGGGATGAAATGACTCTCTCCTAGAATTGTTACATTTTGCGAGACACACTAGTAAAGTAAATATATAATTAAGGGAAAGTTACAATTTATAAGACCAGTTTAAGATTGGCAGAGGATTAAAAGAACAGACAAAATGAAATAAGATTGAAGGCCCAGATAAATACTTCAATGCGGACAATAAGAATATATAAGTTTGTGAGGCATTTTAAAGGCAAGCATCCCTAACAAAGGGAAGAAAAATAAAAGAATCTCTGCAAGCTACTAAGTCTATACAAAATGGTAAAAGAAAGTGATACGATCAACTCATATAAATGCAACCACAAGGTCAAAGTAAACCATGAAATCATGATATACTATATCTAATCGGTTGATTAATATGCATTCTTACCCCATGCATATGGTTGATGGAATATGAGGGCATAGGATGCACGCTGATTGATTTTGCATTCTGACTTGAATTTTCAGGAGCATTTCCATTCCAAAAGAATCTGGATAGTGGAGTCAAAAAGGAGCTCTTCCCTACAAAAGGTCATCAATCAATCATTATTTCGAACTTGTTTAAAATTCTAAATACTTGTAATTCACTCAAACAAACTGACCCTAAAAAACAAAAGAAAAAAATTGAAGGACAGGTTTTACATAACAATACATAGTGAAAGTTCATATCCATTGCTATCTATAGAAGCAATTAATTATACAATATAAAGCACATCTCAGTTAAACATTACCAGAGCAGAGTCCAAGAAGCTTCCGTCTGCGTAAGCTCACCATGTTGGCAATCCCTTAATTAGCAAACAATGGTTTAATTTATCTTCCTTTGCATTTATCCCTGTGTATGTGCTCCTAAGATTACCAAGGCTGGGCGAGTTAGAACTTAGAAGTGGATCAAACCATTTGATACAAACATTAAAGAAGAATAAAATAGAAAATGAACAAGATGGCAGATAAAAACAGAAGACTGCAGAGAGAGATATAGGAACGGTCGTCAAAATGAACAAGGAAGACCATCAGAACTATGAGTCCATGCAATTAATCTGATGCACCTAAGCAATCTAGACAAATAACTAAAGGAAAAATGGAATTGCCAGGTGAAGTTCCCAGATTTTAGCTAACTTTTTAAATATAAAAAATTAAAGTCATCTGCAAGTACTTCTTACACTATCCGTTGGCTGAAAACCAACCAGTTTCTCATCAACAGCTACGTTTGATTTCAATATTGCTACATAGAAAAGCATGGGGCAATCCCATGTACTTATTGGATTTTCAAAAAGGAACAACAGAGTTTATGGCTGGTAAAAACAGAAATAATTCATAAATGAAACTAAAGAAATGGTACTCAGTTCCTAAAGTTAACCAGGCTCCGGATAAGGGAGCAAGGTGAAATAAAGCACGGCAGTAATTTTTTTTCCTGTAAAACTAAAAGCTAAGATAAATTAATCTAAAGGCAAAAACTTCCATCGTTTGAAACTAACAAAGTTGCCCAATATGTGTGCCTGATAAAAATCCCAATTATCTCTCCAGGAAAATAAGTCAACCCCACCAACCTGCCACCTTCGTGGAAGCAGAGAGAGTGGGGAGAAAACCCAAACCCCAAAAACTGAAAACACACAACAATCAAAGGGTAAAAAAACCCAGAAAGCCAAAAGGCTCCAAATTCATCAAAGCAAAAAATGACGATGAGCCCATTATCAGGAACCGCTAAAACCACCCATTACATAGGATAAGATAAATCATAAACAGACAAAATAGCCATTGCTTCTGTCAGTTGTCTGGTACCTGAGGAAGGGAAATAAAAGGTAGTGGCCGACAATAGACACAGAGAAACCGAGGAGAAGAAGAGATAGAAAGGCAGGTACTTTTAATGTTGAAATCTGGTAAAACAAAGAAAGAAAAAGGAAGGGTAAATTTTGAGGATTTTGTTGGTAAAGGGAAAGAAGGAAGATGGGGAGAGAAGAAAAGAATGAATGAAGAGAGTGTTTCCAAGAAGGTGGTGGTGGCTCATGCATCCATCTTTACCACCTTTTGACAAATAATTTTTCTTTATCAAAGGGTGGAGGAGCTGCTGGTATAAAGGGGAAAAATAAAAGTCAAAGCTAAGCAAAGGCTGAACAGGCAAAGAACCAAGACCGAAGGCCTTGAATGTGACGAGGGAAACGTATGCTTGCATAATCTTTACATTATATTTACATATGTATCTTTGATATAAATAATTGGGTAAAATACATATCATTTGTCACTCAATTATTTTTTTAATCATCAAATTATTTCTCATACATATTTGATTATAAATATTACATTTTCTAATTTAGTCACTAATTATTAATTTTTTGTTAAAATTTGATCTTAATTCAGAATAATTTAATAAAGTTAACTCTTCATATTTAAAAACTCTATCAATTTGGTCATTTTCATTTTTTTCCATGTTCTCTCTTTTCTAAACTTAGATTCTAACAAATTCATTGGTACGGTGGATGATGTCGTTGACATTTATTTAATCTCAAATTTTTTGAATCATCCTTTTTCAATCTCCGAAAATAAATTTAACATTAGTTTTCATTAGAAATTTGATGTAAAATTCATAGGTTTAAGGCAAGTTCGAATCCAACCACCGTCACTTTTTGTAGGCAATCTGTAAAGTCCTACGTAAATCTCAATTGAGTTTTAGGTATGCTTTGACTTTGGACTGGGGAGTCACTCCTGACCTAAACTTTTATGTAAAAACAAGACATTTTCATTTGAAAACAGTTTAAAAATAAAATCGTTCGTGTTGCATTTATCTATTAACTATTTTTTCTGTTTATTTATTTAATAACTAAATGCAAACACTTCTGTTAACGCTAAAGAGCTATTTCCCTGATCCTTTATCTAAATTTAGGTTCAAATCAAAACCGTGTTAATTTTTTAAGTGCAGAATGTTTTAATTAGTAAGTAGTGCATATATTTTCCTAGTGCAATCAAAGAGTTGTAGTCAGCCCGTGATTTTAGTAGTATGGGGTGAATTTAGAAATTAGGCCCCTAATAACAAGTATTATAAAAAAATTAATCAAAGAATAATTAAGTGAATGTGAAAAAAATAATTTAAAAATGTCACTTTAGTGTAGGTGTTAATCTTTTAATGACAACTAACAAAAAATGTAACGTTTAGTATGATTTTGAAGAAAAAATAATAATTGGATGACCAAAACGAAAATAAAATAATAATTGAGTGACTAAATAAATAATTTATTCTTTTTAATTATATATAAATTTATAATTTTAATCTCTGATCAAGTGGAGGCTGGTTGTAGTAGATCAATGAAAGTTTGTGAGGAAATCTTTGATGTTGTAATAGAAACTAACCATGAAATAAAAAGAAAAGAAGATGAGACATTCCCACTCCCATAAGACTCAAGAATCAAAATAGTAAATGAATTAATAATAAGATTTAAATTTCAATATATGTGCTAAACTAAGTGAATTATTTTAAATTATGATCTAATCAATAGAATTTATACCTATATATAAATCATAAAAAATGTTAAATTGAATTTGATTATAATTGGATGTTTAATATTTTTTATACATTTAATATACGAATTATTTAAAAAATTGAGCAGAAATTTAATACTCAAATGATGAGCCGGGTCTATCATTCATGCAGAAGCCCAAAATCACGGAATCATAACAGATTTATGGGCGAGGCCTGAGAAAAGAAAACCACGATAATTGAAGGTGTCGAGATAATGGCGGTCCAGGTTCTAAATAAACTCAAAATCATCACCAAGCTAAGTTGATTGAAGCTGCGTGAGGAAGCTAGCTAGGGTTTCCGTGGAAAAAAATGATTTACGACGTCAATTCTCCTCTCTTCCGCTCATTCCTCAGCCAGAAGGGTGGCTCCTCCGACAAGAGGTTCTCTCTCTCTCTCTCTCTCTCCCTATCCCTATCCCTCTCTTGTTATCTTTCGGTGTGATTAGCTTGAATGATTATATTCATTGGGGACGGGAATAAAGTATCAAACGGTGGTGGATTTCTTGATTTTATCATTGTGAACAACATGAATATGATGTTTATGATAAGATGAATTGTCTCTAATTTGTACTAATGCGTGGTTCTCTGTACACAACGCTTTGCTAGATTGTTTATTGTGTGATATGTTTTATCTTAGATTAGGAGAATTTGCTTGCTAATTGTTTTAAAAGCTTAATAGCAATCATGGTTTCTGGAACTTAGTGGCGGAGCTAGGATTTCTGTATAGGACCGAATACATATGCGAGTGTACGACCATTTTTATAAACATATTATATTATGTAAATCTTTGATACATAAGTTAAGAAAAAATGGTTATGAAAGCAAATACTATATTATGTACAGTTCAAAACATAAAATCATAGTTCCTATAATTTATATGCATTGCAATTTTATATTTTTTATTAAATCTTTTAGCAGATTTACACATAGATCATTTGGATGAGCTTAGAAACCCCTCACTCTTTTCAAACATATATTAAGTTTAGAAATGATTGTTTATATAATTTTTTCCCCTAAAGAATGAAAGTAGTTTAAATGTTAGAATTAGAGAAAATTTTAGTACCTTTTTAAAGATTCAAAGATTTATAAAGTTACAAATGAAAATTGTAGCTTTGGTCCTTTGGAGGTGTCGGAGCCGTGTTTCGGTTGGGCCCGGGAATTGGGCTTCGAATTTGATTAAACGAATTGGAGTCGCCACCGATCATTTATTTAAAAGTAAATAGGTTGACATGATACCTTATTTCTTACCTGGTCTGCGCCTTACCAGTGATGTGTCAGATTCAGGAGTCGTTACAGTCAAGGAAGGGTTATCAGCCTTGAACTGCCCTTTCGGTATTACGCAATTTCCTGTTGTCTTTAATTAAGAAAGTTATAATTTTAAATTGAAAGGTAAAATAATTATCCGAGGCTTACCACTGATTGATTTAAAACACCCCTCAAAAAATAATGACATAAAAAATGAAGATGAGTAGGGTAAAAAGAACAAAATAAAGGAAATAAAATAGAAAATAAAAAACAAATAACAAAAAATAAAATAAGTAAATAAATGAAACAAGGAAACTAGCATATACATAAAGACGATGCAATATAAAGAATAAATAATAAAAAGACCAAAATAAAAAATGAATAAATAAAGGAAATAAATATGCATAAAAATGAAATGTAAAAGAAAAAAACAACTAAAAATAATAATAGCTAAAGAATAAAATATATATATATATATATATAATAATCAAATATAGAATAATAAAATAATAAGTAAAAAATATATAAAAAATGTACATAAGAAAAATATAATACAATAAAATACATGAAAAAATAGCTAAATATATATAATGAGAAAATAAAAAAATATATAATAAATGAATAAAAGACCGAAAAATAGAGAAATACAATAAATAAATAGAAAAAAATATAATTAAATAATAATAATGATAGATATAGTATAAAAAATAATAAATATATATATATATATATATATAATAAAATGAAAGTATGTATATATATACAAAATAAGATAAAATAATATAATAATTATAAAAAATAAATAGAAATAGATAAAATATAAAAAAAGGTAAAAATAAGCATAACGGGTTAAATTGGAATGAAAATCAAAGTTGAGGGTCAAATTTCGAAGCAATCAGGGGAATTAAAATTGATTTGGGACTGAAATTGCATTTTTTAAAACTGAGGGGACCGAGAACAAAGTTTACTCCTTTTTAAAACGAAAACACGCGGGTTAGCTGAGCCGGTCGGGTCCAGGCGCGGGTCAAATTGGGTCCACGGGTATCGTATATAAGTTAAATTTTTTATAAAAAAAATCATTTCTCTCTTCTAATCACAAAAAGGCTCTCCCCATCCTTATTCTCTCTCGGTGTTCTTCAAAAACACCAACCCTTGTTTCCAGAATCCGGCCGTTAGTGTCCCACGCCGACAAAACTTTTATTTTTTTTTTTTTTCAAAAATCCCGAAAGCTCTTTCCACCTTGTTTTTTAAAAATCAAAACCTTTTTTAAAACGAACGCCTCGGGGCTAGATCTAAAACAATAGATCTCGAAAACGCTCCGCTCATCGGCCAAAAGCTTTTCTCTTTGAGTTTTTGAACAAATCGTAGAAGAATACTAACATGCAAAGGCAAAAGACCAACAAACAAGGTAAAAAATGCTACCTTTATTTCTTTTCGAACTATGTACAATAGCTCTGATGTGCTTTCTGTTTTTTTCGAGTATTTTCGAGCCTAATCCTTGTGTGTCCTCGTGTGTTTGATTACATGTTTATTTATACACAAAAAATTGACATCTTAGAGTCCTAATCAAACTCTACTGTTTGTTGGTGATGGTTTTGCGTCGGATGCTTCAAGTTGTTGGAGGCGAGAGACGTGTGTCGTGAAATTTGGACGTGGGTGAAAGGAATCCATAAAGGAAACGGCGCTGTGGGACGAGGCATGGCTAGGGTTTTTGGAAACCCTGATCTGGGTAGGCGTGTTGGGCGTGTGGTGTATGTTGGGCCGTTGTTTGGGCCAACAGATTGGTCTTGTAACTTGGGTCGAATATCAGGCCTGCAAGTGTAATAAAATAATGAGTAAATATACACATATATACGTTTAAATAAACATAAATATAAATATATATATATATATATATATATATTATAAAAAATGTGATATGAAAATGGGACGAAATAATGTGTTCACAGGAGGCTATTGCTTTATTTTGGAAATATATCTAAAAAAATGCACATGACACTGGATATATACATATCAAAATTCTTGCCCCTCTGGTTCCATTGTTACTCAGCCACTTCCGAAACTGGTGGTTCTAATTTTATAACAGGAGTTAGGACCCTTAACTTCTCATCATTATTGTGCCCTATCTGTTATTCAATAGCCCGAAATTTACAACCTAGAAAGCTTTTTTTTGCTCTCTGTCTCTTTTCATATGGACACTCACTGAAGCATGTTTTCTGGCAAGTTCTTTTTAATTGACAAGAGTGAAGTGTTTCCTTTGTGGTTGTGTTTAGAGGAATGTTCTGTTTTAGTTTTGGTAGTTTTAGTTTGCTATACTTTTTGAATTTCTTATTTCCTCTCCCATGTTTTTGCCCAATGATATATGATGGGTAATATGATTGGTTTTCTTATGGATCTCTACAATCTGCTACCTTGGGTTTACCTTGACCTGCTGCAATCTTATTGTAAGATAAGCTTTTGTTGTAGTGACATACTTCTGACATAATGTAACTGTTGCTTCATCTTTCAGGAAAATGGAGGAGCAGAAGCCAAAGGATCAAAAACCCAAAGCAAACGAGAATAAACCAGTCATGACAGAGTAGTAGATGCTTTGGTTTAAGATTTATATGCTTTATAATTAGAAGACAGTAGGGTATTGGATGTTCTAAAGTTCTAAGATGCTTGCTATGACAACTCTAGTTTGTTGTTGACGTTTCAAAAATACCATGATTAATGGTTCTTTTTGTTTGTTCGAGTCGGACTGACTCTGGTTTTCAAGCTTGTATCTTTTCATTTCAATATCAAGAATTTTTACTGTCTTTAGCCTTGAGTGGGCATTACGATTGGCAATGGTTCTATACATTTGCCTTGTGATGCTAGCACACCTTCATAAAGTGTGTTGCTCACTTGCTCATGGATTTAATGCAAAAATGCTAACATGCATATCGATTCAGATTCTTACCGCATAACCAACTCAGTTTGAGTTGTGCAGGGGCTGATATCTGTTCTGGATACACTCTTTGCAATACCTTGGTTTCTGTGTTCTAAACAAAACAGACGATGCTCTAGAAGCCGAGGAGGATTGTTTAATTGATACAAGTGGATTGTATGATGGTTCAAGTCTTTACTAATTATCTACATTATATTCTGCGGACTGAAATTCCTTAAGAACCTTTTTTTTATGCTAGTACTACCATGAACTCTAGAAAAGGTTTTAAGTTTATATCTTATTGAAATGTAGTGAATATTCTCACCTTAGCTTTTGATCCACCTTAATTGTATTGCTTGCATAATTAGTAAACTTTTCTGCATATTGATAAACTTTTTGCCCCAAGCTAATGGATTTTTCGGAGACATTTTGACATTATTGACAGTTGGTCGTCGGGTCTCAATTGCTTTTATCATAACGTACGAAGTCATCATGAGTTTTATGGACCAAATTGACTTTTTGGTAGATATATATATATATAGGTTAATCGTTTCATATCGGGGAAATCAAGGTGTTGCTGAAAATCGATCATTCTAAATAGGTGGATGAATCATTTTATTTTCAATGTTTAAATTCAGCTAGTTTATAAACAAACAATGTGTGGTGAAATTGAGTATAGGGGAAGCTTAACCTGCTGTCGAAGATGATCAATAAGTATCGGATATAGTGATAAAACCTATTTAAAAAGAGGATTTCAAGTCTGAACGTGGATCATAAACTGGGTATGGAATCGAAGGTGGTTTTATATATTTTTTGAATAAACGAGCCTCAAAGGTGTGCGTATATAGATTAAATATAGTACACCTATGAGGGGCCATTTTTGTCAAAAAGCCGACCCTACTCCTTAGATCTTTCCACTCCGACAAGATGAAAAAATAAATTCTTTTCTTTTATTCGAAGCTACCATCTTTTTTTTCACTTTAGCTTTTTCACCAAAGATTAGACACGATGATTTATTGAGTAATAAAAAATGAAAGATTTTCGTAGTCAAACCATAAGAAAAAGATTACATTTACATTAAAATGTGCCAACTCCATAGAGAGAGAGAGAGATAGAGGTTACAACAAGGAAGGGAAGACGACAGACATATGTGTGGAAGCATTTGAGTGGCTATTATTGCCTTCACATGCGCACCTACTCCAACCTCAAACTGGTAAAAACTTACATTTGGCCTATACGTTAATGTGGAGTATAATTTTTTATATATCTCGAAGATCTAAAGGGTTTAAATCTTATCACTCGCGAAAATTATACTATAATTTTTTATCTGTTTGATTTGGTCTTTTGTTGGTTGAATGAATATTATACTGTTTCGTTAAATTCTTAATTAATTCATTTTTTTAACATTGTTCTCCTGAGCCTTTTTTTTATAAAAAAAAATTATAAGATTGTGATACAAAGATGAGAAAAGAGATTACATGTGTCAAGCGAGTATCACTTAGTTTTAGCTCCGACTTTTAACACTCAAACGCCTTAGCCATAATCCATTCCAAAATTCTGGTTCTATCATACGTAAAAATGGAGATTTGGCTTTGGATAATAAGTTTAAAATTTTAAAATTAATTATAACATTTAAAAATATAATTGCGCACTTAATTATAAATTAAAGAGTGTAATTAGAGTCTTGAATTATATTCAATTTAACCTAACTCATAAATTACAATAATCGTCTAAATAAATTATACTGGTATAATTACATTCAAATCTAATTATAGAATAGTTTCCAAACACACGTAAATGTTGATTCCTAATAATAGTGGCTTCATCCAAATTAACCAAACCCTTGAATCTCCACTACGTCGCCGTATTTTACCAATTTCTGATAAAAAGATGCAAAATTGTGTTGTGGGGAAGGCAGTAATGAATGGAATTAGTTGGTTACATGATTCCGTGTGGGTTCTTAGATTGGTTCCAGAAAGTTTCACGTAATTTAAATAGAGTGGGAATCTCCCGGTAAGAAATTATATTAATGTTCGTCTTCTAGGTATATCCCTTGCCGATTATATACACAATATCATAGCTGATTAGACATAGAATTCATCATGCTTGGTGGTTATAGACACAATAAAAGTTTCCAAAGTAGCTTTTGTTTCTTGTCGGTCATACTTAAAATCTCCATCTCTTCCCTCCATTCACGCCGCTCTTACTCCCCAGAGTTCATGCACTTCGGGCATTTTTCACTGCCAATTGCTTGACAAGATCAAACGAAACAAAACCCAGAATTCTCTGTGTTTGTGCTCGCTAGTTTTCGTCATAAAAAATGACTGAGTTTTCTTTGGCTGTTTCCAAGAAGAAAACACAGTTTTCAAGCCTTTTGCTTTCTAACTTCATGCTCTTTTGCTCCTACATTCTTTCTAATCCTCTTTATTTCTCTTACTTCATCTTCTTCTCTCCTTATCTCTTCAAGATTTTCTCTTTCCTTTCGCCGCTCTTTGCCACCACTTCCCTTTTGGTTCTTGCATTATTTACGGTATTAAGGTCCCAAGTAGTCGACGATGAAAGTGATGGCTTACCATGCTTGGAAGAGCTTGAAGCTTATAAGATCGTGTTTGAAGCTTCAACCATTGAAGAAATTAGAGAAAACCCAGATGAAGTTTTGGAGACGGAAGCCATTGTTGATTGCTTGCTAGCTGTTGATGAACTTGACGACGACGCTTCGGTTCATAACCCGGAAACATTGACGAGTGGCACTTCCGATGAAGAATCAGCGGAGATTTCACGTCCGGAAACTGTTCAGGTAAATGCTGTAGTGAAGATCTTTGAAGAGTTTTTGAAAGAAAAAGATGGGGTTGAAAACTTATCGCCTAAAGAGGGAGAAAAAGATGAGGAATCCGAGGCAATGGAGAGTAAAGTAAGTGATCCAGAGGCTACAGTGGGAACTAAAAATGGCGTTGAGCTTGAAGACAAAGCAATGATGAATTCCCAAAGCATTAACAACGAAACATCGCGATTGAGTTATTTGGGGTCAATGAGGAAAGAAAAGGAGTGGAAGAGGACATTGTCATGCAAGCTTTTCGAGGAGAGACACAAGGTGACGGCGGCGGATGGAGGTGGTGAAGGGATGGATTTATTATGGGAAGCATATGAAAGCAGTGATTCCAATAAGTCGAAGCTGAAAAGTGTTGGATGGAAGAAAGGTGGCAATGGCATCGAAGAAGATGAGGACGAGGACGAGGATGAGTCGGATGGTCATTTGTGCTGTTTGCAGGCCCTCAAGTTCTCGACAGGGAAGATGAATTTGGGGATGGGAATAGGGAGGCCCAACTTCGTTAAGATCTCCAAAGCCCTGAAAGGGTTTGGGTGGTTGCACCATGTTGGTTCCACCAAGCATACCAAGAAAGCCTACTACTGAATCTTTAGATTTCTTTTATGTATTTTATGCTTGATGAGATGTATTTTCTTAAAATCACTAGTAAATACAAGTTACCAGCTGAGGTAGCAGCAGCTAAAAGATCCTGTTGAAGAAGACGAGCATTCTCCACGATTGGAAATGCGGGTTAAAGGTCATTACCCTTGCAATCATTGATTAATTAAAGCCAGCTTGTTCTACACCCCTTCTTCAGTTTATGTGCATAATGGAATGCAAGTTTAACCTACATATCAATCATCTCTTATATCCACATTTGTCCTTTGGTTTGCTGCTGGGCATCCGAGGCATCTCAACAGTTTTTATGGGTACAATGATCTTTCTAACCTCCAATGTTTATATCTGTTGCTAAATAATACCATTAGCATTGACTAGCATACAATAAATAAATAGAATAATTTATTATATATTGGTAAAAGTTACTCTCTAGAAACAATTTCATCCAGATTGATTTAATCACTACCCAAAGTTAACACAGTTTTTCAAATATCGTACACCTGGAGTAAGAAGGTAAAATTCACTTGTGTTGCTCTCTTCGACAATAAATTTATTCGAGAAAGACAAAAAATGAAATCAGCGATTGTATATTAATTAGGAAGAGACTAACCATTTTATAAAAATAATGAGTAAAACTATAATATGATAATTAGATACTCCAACCACTCTTTAAATACAGATAATTCATTCTCTAAAATTATTCCACTATTTACATTACACACAACATTAACAATTTATAGGAATTCGCAAAAACCTAATTTGACCTATTCGTTATCATCCCAGATATAATTGAAAGACCATTTCATTAATAAGGCTAAGCATCAGTAATAGGCCTAACAACATTTCGCTTTTATCTTAAATATCGTGTCTTGAATATATCTGACAAGAACCATGTGGTTATAAAGAAGGCATGGTCTCCGGGAAAGAATGATATGCTCTACATTTCTCAATTCTCACAAACCACCATTCCTTGGGTTTGGTCGATAACTCTCCTAAAATGGCATGCTTCCGAACATATTAAATGAATTTAATGATTAAAAGAAGTATATATTTTTTAGAAATTTTAAGTTCGAATAATTATATTTATAAGGTATATATTTTATGAATAATTAAAAATTATAAAAAATATATTTTATAATCATTTTAGACTATTAAATAGAAAATTAACATAAACGAACATAAAATTTTATAATATACGACCATGATCATCCTCGGTCCACCGCTGTATCTATGTAATAAGGGAAAATGTGGGGAAATAAACGGTGGCTGCAGTGTATCCCATAGAAATGTCGGTTGTGCAAATCTGAATCGGCTTCTAGTCTTCTACATAATTGCCTGATTTGAGTACACTAACGTGATTACTTTTTAACAGAGACATAATTAATGTTTTCGACATTTGACCATACTTTAACAAATGGTCTCTCAATCTGATTATGATCTTTAAATGCTTAAGCCTTTAATTTTTCATATTTAATTACAGCTATCAAATGTTTTTAAAATCCAAATATCAAATGAAATTGTTTATGGATAAATTTTCTTTTTCTTTTTCACTTGATTCGGTTATATTTACGTTTTGATCATTTAAATTTAAAAATTAAAATTTTATTAATAATTTTTTTATAGTGTTATTTGATTGCTCGATTGTTAACTGCTTAACGTCGTTTAAATTTATTTGATATTTTTATCAAAAAAAACCTCTTCAAATTTTCTTTTCAATTCTAGATTTTAATTATATTCATTACGTTTAGATACTTTTTTTAAAATCTAAATTATGGAATAATTTAGAGAAAAAAAAATAATATATCTTGATTTTATGTGATTAATAATATAAATTACGTATCACGATAAGGTTAATTAAAATTTTAATTTAAAATTTATCAACTTTCAAAGAAATTTTCTAAAAAATAAATTAAAAAGGATAAAGAAACGATAAAAAAGAACGCTTTAATTACTTGCATTGCAAATGATGACAATAATAATTGAACGGTGATGGAAATAATTATGGTGATAGAAAATATTTTGAAAACTAAAAACAAAACCCAAAACGAAACATTTTGATGAGGTTGTTAAACAATAAAATTAAAAAATTTAAATTTTAAAAGTTGAATAACACAAAAGATAATTTACAGAAATAAAAGCATATTTGATTTAATTCCATTCGAGAGCCATGATAGTATAAAGAGAAAATCGTCTCAGTGAAAAACTAAAAACAAAACCCAAACGAAACATTTTGATGAGGTTGTTAAACAATTAAAATTAAAAAAATTTAAATTTTAAAAGTTGAATAACACAAAAGATAATTTACAGAAATAAAAGCATATTTGATTTAATTCCATTTGGAGAGCCATGATAGTATAAAGAGAAAATCGTCTCAGTGACCAAAAATAGCTTATAATATACGATTTTAACCAACTTTTTCCGGATTTGCCAAAATGACCAACAAAATCGCAATGCGACCGCTAATTCGCAACGCGATCTCCATTATCGCAAATTCGCGTTGCATTTCGCGTTGCGATAGTTGGAAATCGCGTTACGATGGTCTATAGTATCGTTGCGATTTTCCCAATTCGCAATGCGAATAAGTAAATCGCAACGCGAATTGGTAAAATCGCAATGCGATACTGACTATCGCAACGCGATAATACAAAATCGCAACGCGATGCTGACTTTCGCAACGCGATACTGACTTTCGCAATGCGATTCTGACTTTCGCAACGAGATAATACAGAATTGCAATGCGATTTTCAAAGTTCGCAACAAGTTTTAGTTTCGCAACACAAATATTTTGGGTATATATCTACGCAGCAGCAACAACTCATAACCTAAATCCCTAAATCGCAACTCATTCCATCTCCATCTTTCACTCTCTCTGGCGACATCCGTTCCTACATCCTTCCCCATCCGGCAACAGGTCTTAGTTTCGCAGCTCGTTTGTTTAGTAAATTAATTTACAACCATGAAATCATCTAATGTTGATCATGTTTGGATAGATTTGTGTTTTGGAGGGTCATGGGAGAATGTTCATGTGTTTTACAATATATGCTTTACCCATGAATCTTCAACTAAAACTGTCATTAAAAAAGTTAACTTATGAAACTCTAATGTTACGTGTTTCAAAGAAATTGAATTTAGAGCCCCTAAGTGGATTTAAGCTATCTTATCAGAGAAATGGTAAAGTTTATTTGTTAACCGACAATGAAGATGTTGAACGATTCATTGCTTACATTAGTGTTTCAAGTGATGATGTTACATTGTATGTTGTTGAACCTAGAAGTAGTATTGTTGGGTCATAGCGGGTAGTAATCAACTAAGTTTTTCTCAAAACCCACAACCTTTCTCTAATCCAAATCCCAATCAACTTTAGCACCAATTCCGGTTTTCGTATTGACCAATTAGACGATGATGAGCCAACAGAAAAAATTGTGAGTACTAGTCAGTATTCAAAATTTGATCTTGGTCAATACCCGGACTTTGATATTGGTCAATACTCGGATTTTGATGATGTTTCAGAAGAAGAAACAGACCTTGCGTGTAATGATTTTGATATTGGTCAATTCCCGAATTTTGATGATGAAACAGCCGTTGTCGAGGAAGATGTTGTTGATGATAATGAGGAGGAAGTTACGACTGTGAATGAACATGTTGAACATCCATTCTGTAATTCATATAATCCTGAAGAAGAAAAAGAAGAAGAAAAAGTCCCCGAAGAAAAGAAAATGCCACGGGAGTATAATTGGAATATGCCAGAATTACTTCAGATACCGGAAGAAGAGTTGGTAAAGAAAGCAATTGATTGTTACACAAAAGTTATTCGTATCAAGAAAGATGATTGTTTTGATACAAAGAAGACTTGAAGATAGCTTTGTATACGAAATGTGTGGAAGATAGCTATCACTAAAAGTTAACAAATCAAGCAAAGATCGTTTCGAAACAAGGTGTATGATTGACAAAAACTGTACGTGGCGTATGATTGCAAAGAGGATAAAAGATTGCGAAATGTTTCAAGTTAGGACTTTTATTGATAAACATACATGTTCAATAACCCAAGTTTTTCCTCACCATAGACAGGCAAACAAAAAGGTGTTGGGTGGTTTTCTGGCTGAGTTAATGTTTTTGAATGGCAGGGTATATCGGGGACATGAAATTATGACTGACATGAATGCTCGGTTCAAGATTAGTATATCATATTCTCAAGCTTGGAGAGCCAAATGTTATGCCTTGGAATTGTTGAGGGGGTCGCCAGAAGCATCGTTTGCCCAACTGCCGGCTTATTGTCACAATTTAAAGCTGAAAAATCCTGGTCGGTAACTCATATCAAAACAGATAGAGATGGACGCTTTGAGTTGTTTTCACCATTGGTTGCGGTTAGTAAATCAATATAATTATGTTGACTCATTTTTGTTAGTTACATGCATTTCACATTTAAATGATTATATTTCTTGTGTATATTATTTTGTAGATTCGTTCGTTTATTACTTGCATGCGCCCAGTTATTATAGTTGACGAAGCACATTTGAAAGGTCGATACCTTGGAGTAAACTTATTAGCAGTAGCCATGGATGCTAACAATGGGATATTGCCAATAGCTTACGGGGTTGGCAAATCTGAAACCTCTGATTCATGGACATGATTTATGGGGCATCTTAGGGATTGCATAGGTCCTATTAGCAATCTGACAATCATATCTGATAGGGCAAACTCAATTGACAACGTTGTTAGAAGGTGTTTCCCAGATGCTTTTCATGGACTTTGTGGTGTTCATTTGTATAGAAATCTAAAATCAAGGTCTGCTGGTATAAAAAAGCACAAATAGACATACTAGAAGGCTGTAAAAGCTTATCGGGAAGTGGATTTCAATAAGCATATAAACTGTTTAAGACGTGTTTTGCCTCAGTGTGCTCAAACACTAGAAGATGTCGGGTTTGAAAGATGGTCAAGAGTACATCAACTTGGAGCAAGATATGGTTTCATGACGTCTAATAGTGTAGAATCAATCAACGCTCTAAGTCGTCATTCCCGGAAATTACCCATTACTATGTTAATGGAGTTTTTTCGAGCCTCTATTCAACAGTGGTACTACACGAAAATAAACCATGCATGTATTATTTCTTTGAATTCGTAACTTATCATATATTTTACTAAGTTTTATTTATTTAAATTTACAGGAA